TCACCCCCCCAGTGAAGGGACACCAGGGAGGGTCAGCTCCCCACCAAGGGGACACCAAGAGGGTTCTCCCCCCAGTGAGGGGACACTAAGGGGGGGTCCCCCCTTCTGAGGGTCCACCAGTGGGGGTCACTTCCTAGTGAGGGGCCACCAAGAGGGGTCACCTCCCTGCTGAAGGGACACCAAGGGAGGGGTCAGGTCCCCACCAAGGGGACACCACGAGTGTTTTCCCCCCACGAGGGGCACCAGGGGGTCTCACCTCTCCGATGCAGCCGCGGAAGGAGGCGTTGGTGGGGGGCCGCAGGGGGGGCTCGGTGCCCCCCAGGTACAGGGGGCTGCGCAGGTTCAGCCCCTGGCTCTTGCCGGGCGAGGAGCGTTTCACAGGGGCCGCGTCGTCCACCACGAGGGTCCCGTCCTTGTTCAGCCGCTCGGCCGTCACCCAGTGCCACTGTCCCAGTGCCACCGGGGCCGCGCTCCGCAGCACCGCCGGGCCTGGGGATGGGGGAGGTCACGGGGGGCAATGGGGACACCAGGGGACACCGGGGGACACTGGAGATGCTCAGGAACTTGAGAGGTGTCCCCAGTGATGCTGGGGAACCTCGGTGGTGCCCGAGGACCCCAGTGGTGACAAGGGACCCCAGTGACACCAGGGGACCCCACAGATGTCCAGGGACCCTGGCAGCATCTGGGGACCCCAGTGAGATCAAGGTGACACTTGGTGGTGTGTGAACCCAGTGACCCAGTGGTGCCAGAAGACCCCAGTGACATTTGGGGACTCCAGTGTGGCCAAGGCACCACAGTGATATTTGGGGACCAAAGCAGTGCCCGGGGACCCCAGTGGTGTGACAATGATGCTTGGGGACCCTAACTCCTAGGGATGTGATGCCAGGGGACCCCAGTGACACCGGGGTACTTCAGGGATGCCAAGGGGACCTCAGGAATGCGCAGGGACCCCAGTGGTGCCAGAAGACCCAATGATACTCAGGGACCCCAGTGATGCCAAGGGGACCTCAGGAATGCCCAGGGACCCCTGGGGACCCCAGTGGTGCCAGAAGACCCCAGTGATACTCGGGGACCCCAGTGGTGCCAGAAGACCCCAGTGATACTCAGGGACCCCAGTGATGCCAAGGGGACCTCAGGAATGCCCAGGGACCCCTGGGGACCCCAGTGGTGGCAGAAGACTCCAGTGATACTTGGGGACCCCAGTGATGCCAAGGTTTGGGGTTAGGGTCACCCCCTGGTGACAACAGGGGACCTCACTGATGACCAGGGACCCTGACAGCACTTGGGGACCCCAATGATACCAAGGGACCCCAGTGGTGCCAGGGGATCCCAGTGGTGCCAGGGGACCCCACTACAGCTCAGGGACCCTTGTGACACCAATGGACCCTGGTAATGCCACGTCACCCCCTACCCCCAGGATCCCCAGAGCCCTCCCCCACAGTGCCCTCATCCCCGTGCCACCCACCTGAGCCCAGCTCGTAGCGGAACTCGAGGTGGCCTCCGACCATGGCCAAGGCCACGAAGTCCTCGACGGGGGCGGCTTTGCCGGCGCTGAAGAGCAGGAGCCCGTCGGGTGCCAGCGGCAGGAACTCGGCGTCCACGCGCAGCTCGTGGTGCACGTTGGTGAGGGGCGGGTACGACACGAAGGCTCCGTCCTCCTCGAAGGACGGCATGTTCACCGCCTCCCCTGTGCACCCCAGTCAGTGCCCCGCACTGGGACCCCACCTCCATCCCCATGGTGGGACCCCACCTCCATCCCCATGGCGGGACCCGACCTGCATCCCCAGAGTGGGACCCCATCACCCATCCCCAACATCTGTATCCATGGCAGAACCCCAACATCCACCCCCAACATCCATACCTATGGCAGAAACCCATCCTCCATCCCTAGGGTGGGACCCCATCATCCATCCCCAACACCCATATCCATGGCAGAAACCCAACCTGCATCCCTGTGGTGGGATCCCCTCACCTATCCCCAACATCCTTATCCATGGCAGAACTCCATCCTCCATCCCCAGGGTGGGACACCATCACCCATCCCCAACATCTGTATCCATGGCAGAAACCCAACTCCATCCCCAACACCCATATCCATGGCAGAACCCCAACCTGCATCCCTGTGGTGGGATCCCCTCACCTATCCCCAACATCCATATCCATGGCAGAACTCCATCCTCCATCTCCAGGGTGGGACACCATTACCCATCCCCAACACCTCCATCCCCACGGTGCCCCTCTCCCCAGGCTGGTCCCGATCCCCATGCCAGTGTCCCCAGGGTGGTGCCAGCCTTGTATCCATCTCACCAGGGTGGTCCCAGCCCCACGCCCAACTCCCTGGAACAGTCCCAGCCCTCTGTCTGTGTCCTCAGGGTGGTCCCAGCCCCATGTCCGTGGCCGGGAGTCCCCAGCCCTGTGCCCATCTCCCATCACATGCCCACATCTCCAGAGTGCTTCCCGCCCCATCCCCGTGTCCCCAGCTATGTCCCCATTTCCGCAGGGTGGTACCCGCCCCATCCCCGTGTCCCCAGGGTGGTCCCCAGTCATGTTCCCAAGTTCCCACAGTGGTCCCAGCTCTGTGCCCATCTCCCTGGGGTGGTCCCAGCCATGTCCCACCTCCCCGGGGTGATCCCCACCCCGTGCCATGTCCCCAGGGCGGTGCCAGCCCTGTGTCCCCATGTCACTCACCCTCAGTGCACCTGTCCCCGCTCTTGCCCAGGTGGCAGCGGCAGGTGTAGCCCTGCCCGTCCGGCCGGTTGACACAGGTGGCATCGGGCCCACAGGCCTCTGTGGGGTGACAAGCCATGAGCACCCAGCCGAGAGGGACACTGAGGTGCCATCCCCAGGGCAGGGTGGTGTCACCTACCTGGGTGACAGTGCAGAGCCTGCGAGTACTCGCAGTTGCTGCCGGTGAAGCCGTGGGGACAGCGGCACATGTAGGTGCCACTCTCGTCGTCCTGGCACACGCCGCCGTTCTGGGGAGGGGGTGACACGGGTGTCAGCCGTGGGTGGCGATGGGTGGGCACCTCCCACCCCCTCCAACCTCACCTGGCACGGCCGGTCCTGGCAGGTGGGACAGTTGGTGACACCGTGCGCCTGCAGGTCCATGTCCCCAAAGGCCACGTCCTCCCCTTGGATGCGGAGCTGGCGCACGCAGCCTGCGCGGGGACGGGGATGGGCACAACTGCCACGTGATGCCCAGCCCCCCCCTCGCCCTGGTGCCCCCCAAAACCCACCACTCACCCATGAAGCCGCGGCTGAGCCCCGTCTTGGCCACGGCACCGATGTCGGGGTACCCGCCCAGGAACAGCTCCTCGTTCAGATCCAGCCCTTGGAACTTCCCCTGCGGGCACGGGTGGGTGGGCACCACCTCCAGCACCCTGACCCCCACCCAATGCCCGCCACCATCCCCCGAATCACTACCTGGGAGGTGCCATTAACGGGGGGGTGCCCGTCCAGTGCCAGCGAGCCCCAGGTGAGGTTGCGGAGCAGCCGCACGGTGTGGTACTGGCCCAGCCGCAGCGCCGTGGGGTGACGGATGGTGGCCATGCCCGAACCGGCATCAAACCTGATTGTTTTGGGGCACAAGGGGTGTGGGTGGGTGCTGGCATCCATCTCCCCCCTGTCCCAGAGCACCCACTCGTGGCTCTCACCTGAACTCGGGGCGGCCGCCCACCAGCCCGAAGGAGATGAAGTCGGCGCCGCTGTTTTTCCGCTGCCCGTTGTAGAGGAGAAGCCCTGAGGGGTGGCAGGAGGTCAGGCAGGAGGGTCCCCACCCTGGGGTGGGGGTCATGTCCTAGGGGACCCCAAAATCCCCCCAGGATGGAGGAGAACTCCCCCGTAAAGTGGAGGGGCTCAGATGAAACGAGAATGGGAGATAAAGGAGGGCAAGGGGAGGACGAAGGGAGGAGGAAACAGCGGAGAGGACATGGAGGAGGACACAGGGACACGTGGGGACACGGGCTCACCATCAGCAGCATCAGGCCGGAAGCTGATGAGGATCTCAAACCTCTTGTAGGCGTCCTTGATGGTGGGCAGGGGGAGGAAGGACTGGGGCGACTGCCCGAAATAGGGAACCAGGTGCTCTGTGGGGACAGGGCGGGTCAGGAGGAGTGCGGGGACATCACCCCCACCCCTGCCTGGCCCTCTGCCCGTCCGTCCCTCCTCACCCTGGACCTTGAGCACGTAGTAGGCCGTCTCCTGGCCGCGGTGGTTGCCGGCGGTGCAGGTGTAGACCCCGCCGTCCTCGGGGTGCACGGCCGGCAGCGTCAGCACGTTCCCCTCCACCCTGGCACCCGCCGGCAGCTCTCCCTCCAGCTGTGCCACAGCGCAGGGGGGTCAGCACCCACATAGGGTGCCCCCCCGACCTTCCCCCCCGCCCCATCCCTCCCTCTCACCTTGCTCCAGGTGATCTCTGGCACCGGGAAGCCGGACGCCAGGCACGGCAGAACGGCCGCCGATCCCACGGACACCTCCTTCACCTCTGGCTGCCCCACGATCTGGGGGGCGGCTGGGGACGCACGGGGGTGTCACCAGGGCTGCGGTGACACCGTGCGTGTCCCCCCAGCTCCGCGTGTGTCCCCCCAGCTCCGTGTGTGTCCCCCAGCTCCGTGTGTGTCCCCCAGCTCTGTGTGTGTCCCCCAGCTCCGCGTGTGTCCCCCCAGCTCCGTGTGTGTCCCCCCAGCTCCGTGTGTGTCCCCCCAGCTCTGTGTGTGTCCCCCCAGCTCTGTGTGTGTCCCCCAGCTCCTTGTGTGTCCCCCCAGCTCCACGTGTGTCCCCCAGCTTCGCGTGCCCACCTTGCACGTGCAGGATGACGTGGGACTGGACGGTGCCCACGGCGTTGGTGGCGGTGCAGCGGTACTGCCCCGCGTCCGCCCGCTCCACCCGCTCGATGGTGAGGGTGCCAGCGCGGACCAGCACCCCGGGCCGGATGCGGCCCCCCACTTTGCTCCAGGTGACGTGGGGACGCGGTTCACCCAAGCCCAGGCACTCCAGCTCCACTGTCGTCCCCACCAGCACCGTCTGCACGGCCGTCCGGATGTTGATCAGGGCCCTGGGGAGAGCTTGGGGGGGACAGCGGGGTTTTGGGGTGACCCCCTGGCACAGGGAGACATCGCAGCCCAGGGCGCCACGAGAGGAGTGAGAGATGGGGAGAAATGGGGTGCTCAAGGGGATGGGGGGACCAATGGGATTGGGAATGGGGAGATGTTGGAGGTGTTGGGGTGCTCATGGGCTGGGGAGACATTGGGGGTGTTGGGGTACTCACGGGCATGGGGAGACATAGGGGGTACCAGGGTTGTGATGGGTGTGTGGAGAGATTGAGGGTACTGGGGTGCCTGTGGGCATGGGGAGAGATTTGGGATATCGGGGTGTCCATGGGTGTTGGGAGACTTGAGGGTGCCCAGGTGACCATGGATTTAGGGAAATGGACGGTACTGGGGTGCCCCTGCGTGTGGGGAGATGGGGGTACCAGGGTGCCCGTGGGGGATAGGTCAGAGGTCTCCTGTGCCCCGGTGCTGTTCCTACCCTGGATGGTGAGGGTGGCCCTGTCCTCCGCCTGCCCGCCCGGGGCGCTGGCCCGGCACACGTACACCCCCTGTGCCCCCCACGCCAGCTCCGGGATCCTGTGGGGACACAGCCGGGGTGAGGGACCCCACAGAGGGTCAGGGGGGTCCCACCTCCCCACGCCCCGTTCCTTACCGCAGCACCCCGTCCCGCACGCTGTGGGTGGGGGGCAGCTCCCCGCCCTCCTTCAGCCACTCCACACGCACCCGGGGGTCCCCGGACACGGCGCAGGCGAACTCGGCGGTGCCGCCCACGCCCTTGACGAGGCTCCCCGGGGTCACCCGCACCGCCAAGGGACCACCGCCGATGTCCACACCTTCAGCAGCGCCACCTGGGAAAGGTGGAGGACACTGATGGTACCAGGTGGCACCGGGATCACCCGGGCGGGATGCAGAGCCCAGTGGTACCCAGGAGCACCAGTGTCACCCAGGCAGCACCAGGAGCACCCAGGAGTGACGCAGAGCCCCCCTGGTCCCAGAGGGCTCACCGTGGACGGCCACGCGGGCGAAGGCCTCGGCGGAGCCCACGCGGTTGGTGACCAGGCAGCGGTAGGTGCCGGCGTCGGCGGGGGCGGCGGGGCTGATGCGCAGGAGGCCGGCGCGGTGGGACACGCGCCCCGACAGGCTCCCGTTCACCTTGGCCCAGGTGTAGTGCAGCGGGGGGGTGCCGTGAGCCAGGCACTGCACCTGCAGCGCGTCCCCCGCGCGCACCGCGGCGTCCTCCGGCAGCACCGTGGCGTACGGGGCGGCTGCGGGATGCACGGAGCCTCAGCGGGGATGGGGCCGGGAACGGGACAGCGGGGCAAGGAGGGTGTTGGAGCGGGGTGTGGGGGGGATGGAGGTGGGTGGGTGTTGGGAGGGATGAGGGTCGGATGGATCTGTGAGGAAGGGATGGATGGAGGAGTGGGAGAGGAGATGAGATAGGGATGGCTGGGATGGTGAGTGAAGGATGGATCTACCGGGAGGGAAGGATGGATGGATGGAGGGATAGATGGAGGGATGGAGGGATGGATGGAGGGATGGATGGATGGAGGGATGGATGGATGGAGGGATGGATGCATGGAGGGATGAATGGATGGATGGATGGGTGGGTGGGTGGATGGATGGCAGAGTTTGAGAAGAGATGGTGAGATGGGCATGTGCTGGGATGGACAAAGTGGATGAATCCATATGGAAGAAATGGATGGATGGATGGATGGATGGACAGATGAGTTTGGGACAAAAAGGAGTGATGGGTGTGTGCTGGGGTGGACCGGGGATGGACAGATCCCCAAGGAAGGGATGGATGGAGGGGTGTGACAGGAGATGAAGAGGTGGATGTGAGCTGGGATGGTTGAATGATGGATGAATCCACCAGGAAGGGATGGGTGGGTGGGTGGGTGGATGGCAGAGTTTGAGAGAAGATGGAGAGATGGGCACATGCTGGCATGGATGAGAGACAGATGGATCCAAGAGGAAGGGATGGATGGAGGGGTGTGAGCAGAGATGGAGAGATGGGTGTGTGCTGGGATGGATGAAACAGGTGGATGCACAAGGAAAAAATGGATGGAAGGGTGTGACAGGAGATGGGACAGCTGAGTGATGGATGAATCCACACGGAAGAGGTGGGGATGTGGGTGGATGGATGGATGGGTGGATGGATGGATGGATGATTGGCAGAGTCTGAGAGGAGATGGCAAGTTGGGCGTGTGTTGGGATGGAGGAGACGGATGATGCACAAGGAAAAGATGGACGCAGGAGTTGGGAAATGGAGAGTAAGATGTGGGGGATAAATGTACCAGGAAGGGTTGGATGGATAAGTCTGAGGGGAGACTGAGAGATGGGTGTGTGCTGGGGTGGATGACATGGATGGACGTACAAGGAAGGGATGGATGGAAGGGTGTGGGAGGAGATGGCGAGATGGATATCAGCTGGGATGGATAAGCAATGGATGAATCCACAAGGAAAAGGTGGATGCAGAAGTGAGGAGATGTAGAGATGGGTGTGTGCTGGGGTGGAGGAGTCGGGTGGAGGAGTTAGGAGAGGGAGAGCTGGGACAGCTGAGTGATGGATGAATCCACAGGGAAGGGGAGGGGATGTGGGTGGATGGATGGATGGATGGATGGATGGATGGATGATTGGCAGAGTCTGAGAGGAGACGGTGAGTTGGGTGTGTGCCGGGATGGATGAGATGGATGGTGCACAAGGAAGGGATGGATGGAAGGGTGTGAGAAGAAATGGAGAGGTGGGCATGTGCTGGGATGGGCCAGAGATGGGTGAATCCACAAGGAAGAGATAGATGGAGGAGTAAGGAGATGGAGAGATAGGTGTGTTTTGGGATGAACGTGATGGATGGATCCATGAGGAAGAAATGGAAGGAGGGATACAAGCAGAGATGGAGAGGTGGGTGTGAGCTGGGAGGGGTGAGCTGTGGATGGATCCAGGAATAGGGGATGGATGGATGGATGGATGGATGGATGGAGGAGAGAGCAGAAGTGGAGACAGACATACACAGAGATGGGACAAGCTGGTGGCCACATCCATGGGAAGGACTGGGTGACAGAGCTTGAGAGCAGATGGAGAGGAGGAGGATGAGCGCTGGGATGGGATGAGGATGGTCCCGCAGGGAAGGGCTGGATGTGAGGGTGGGAGCAGCGACGGGGATGGGCACGTGCAGAGGAAGGACAGAGAGGAGCCAAGGATGGGTGATGCCAGAGGTGAAGGCAGCAGGAGGGACCCAGGGGCACCCAACCCCCCTGGGACCCTCTCCTTACTCTCCACATCCAGGGTGACGAAGACCTCTGTGGAGCCCACGGGGCTGGTGGCATTGCAGATATACTGGCCTGAGTCCTGCTGCGCAGCGCGAGGGATCACCAGGGTCCCGTTGACCACGCGGTGCTGCCAGGGCAGGGGCGCCCGCAGCTTCGACCACTCGATCCGCGGCATCGGGTCCCCTGCGGCCACACCGGCACCCGTCAGGTCTGGCACCGCCCGGGGTGCCCATCCTGCCCCACCACCCCCTCCCGCCCGTACCTGTGGCAGTGCAGTGCAGCGTGGCCGTGTCCCCGGCCACCACGGTGACGGTGGCGGGCGCGGTGACCTCGGGGGCGCCGGGGTGCCGCTGCGCCGACTCCACGCCCACGTCCACCCGCGCCTGCGCCGAGCCCAGCGCGCTGTGCGCCGTGCACACGTAGGTCCCGGCGTGCTCCGGCTTGGCCGGCGAGAGCTGGGTGGAGGGGACGGGGTGTGGGTCGAGTGCTGGGCATCCCCCGGTGCCCTGCAGCACCCCGGGGTGCCCCCCTCACCTGCAGGATGGCCTGGCTGTCCATGTGCAGCAGGGTCTGGTGCTCCACCTTCTGCCGGGAGCCCAGCCGGCTCCAGCGCACCAGCGGCCGCGGTTCGCCCCGCCCGAGGCACTCCAGGCTCAGGGATTTGCCCTCCTTCACTGTCACGGGGCCTGGTGGCATGACTGACACGGTGGGGGCACCTGGAGAAGGAGGAGGATGGGGGTGTGGGGATGGGGACACCACCGTGAGGGATGGCCATGGGGGCACCATCACCTTGGGGATGTCGGGAACACAAGGAGGACACGAGCATGGGAGTGGGGCTGGGGACACCATCATCCCAGGGGCATGTGGAGCACATGGAGGACTCAGGGATGGGGACATATCATCCCAGGGGCA